CTGGAATTCCCATCACTACTTTTTAGAGAACTTGCTTAGTTCTCAGTCAACTTTATTTCCCTAAAATGAAAGTTTTTATTTCACTTGCCTCCACCTTTGGGAGATCAAAGGTCAGAAAATTGGTACTTGAACACAGCAGATGTAGGGCGGCCGGCGAGTTTGAACTCCGTTCTGTGGCCCCAGCTGTTAATAAAGTTACACAATCTGCAATTTATAATTTAAAATGAATTAAAACTTTAATTACTGTGATGTCACCACTGATGGGATTATGAAATGGTTTACGTAGTTTGTTACAATATAAAGAAAGCAAACAGATAATAATAAAAGGTCTTTATGAATAAACAACACACTTGTTTTTGCCTGCAGTGATGATGTGGTCAATTTTGGTGGTTTTTCAAATTGCCCTCATAAACATTATTCATACATTAGGAAATCTTATGGAGCGTCTTATTATCAATGTACAATTCAATGTGCAATTATTAAGCTATTAAAATTAATTGTTTATCCTGCAGAGTGAACAGTTCTTCGTTTTGGATCCTCGCCCAGAAACATTTACAGTCTGGATGTTACCCTACTTGGAGAATCTGTTATAAACTTGTAGTAAGTTCATCAACATGGCACAGTTTGTTTGTTTGTTTGTTGGTTTGTTTTTGTGGGACATGGCAATTGTTTCAGTATATTAAGTGATTCATAACCATGGGTCATGTAGTTGGATTATTTTCTCTGGGCTGTTAGATGTCTCATGCACGAGTCATATTTCTGGAGAAGTGACACAGTTTCAGATAATTGATTTCAGCTACAGAAGTGGCTCGCAGCCCTGACAGAGGAACGCTCCAGAAAGGAAAATATTACTGCATAAAACTTCTCCTAACAAAGTCATTCAATTTAGCTGTAGCTGTAACTCAAACAGTCAATATCGGGACATGAAGGTGGAGATACACAGAGGGACATGGTGGTCACACACTGGGATTCAATGCTGTGCCTCTGTGGTCATTATTTTTCTCCCCAAGGGTGCAGAGTTTTAAAGCCCACAGGTTCTTTTTGTTACACATTTCACATACTGTACCTGCTGCACCGTGCAGTCATATTACCGGAAGGTTTACTGCTGCTCTGCAGTACAGATTACGTGTGTGTTTGTGTGTGGGGAGGCGAGTAAATGGACAGGTATGTGTGTCTGTGTATAAATATCTTCCAGTGATTGTCTCTATCTCACTTCAAAGATGGTCCACCACATGTGAGCCTTATGTAGAAACCCCATAAAAACCTCCAATGCTCTATACTGCTGAAGATAAGTCTTGGCACCAGAATTAGAAAGGCTGCCTGAAACCGCTTCAGGCTGCTTCTCTCAGATAAATGCCCAGCGTATGGCCAGGATGTCTGTCGCATCACTGGTATGTCTTCCACGTAGCTGAAAACACAACACTGGCCATATTTGATGTGTTATTTGGCCTCAGAATCAGTTTTTAAGATGTTATGTCAGTGCAGTGAGATAATTTCACATGTTCCCTTAATTTGCTTTTTTTTAGGACACAATATTAGATTACATGACTAAGGTTCAAATTGGAGATTAGTTGGGACCAGATGACCCACTTACCATTTCAAGATGCAGGAATGAGAGGTTGAAGTATACTTTTAAATGTTTTAAACGCGGATAGTTTAATACTAGTCAGGTGTAGTGATGTGACCTTGGGTGACTGCTAATGCAAAATGACTGAAAAGCATCTGAATAAATCATATTAACAAGAGCCTCAATCTGCATCTTTCGCAACATTCATATCTCTGTCCTTTCAGACCTTGGAACGTGGTCGGTTTCTTGCGAGCACATTTGACAATAGTCAGATAAACAATATAATGGAATGAATCTAAAAACATAATCGGCTATACCTAATGTTTGAAGTCATGGAGAGTTATCAGTCCGTGCGCGCGTGTATAATCAGAATGTTTGTGTGTGTTCACTGCCGTTACACAGTCCGACCTGAGATATCCTCAGTTCTGCAGCTCTTTGATACAGACAAGGCTATCCCTCATTACTCCCCACTATAGCGGCCTGGCTCTGAAGATAAGAGGGGAACAACACCTGTCTTCTGTTTCTATCAATGTTACACACACAGAACTACCTTGCCACAGAGAGAAATTTATCAACAACTCTTAATGATCATTTTCTTTTTCTTTTTTGCAATGCTGTTGACCTAATCTTTTTCTTTGCTGTGTTTTGTTTGGTTTTTACCAAGGTTTCACAGCTGTGTATCTTTGCTATCAACATTTTTCAAATCATTCAAGGCTAATGGTACCTGTAATCTCAACAACTGTAGTTACCATTATATAGGCGCCATTTTCAATGATTTTTCTTCTCCTTTTGAGATTGCAGATAGCTGGGGGGTTGTTTTTATACTGATTGTGATAAGGTGTTCTGATACTGTGATATCTGCTGTGTTGATAAAAGTTTATTCAGTCAAACTTGGGTTAAATCCTCTTCACAGACATCAGGGAGTTGGGCTTTGTTGTGGTCGATCACACCTTGTTTTGGCGAGTCCAGACGTATATAAAGGAGCTTTTTCTTACAACAGTCATTGAAGTTTAAGCATATTACCGCAGAAACAAAGCAATTTTTGTTCAAAAAAAGTTTTGACTATTAAGGCATTTCAAACTCTTTTGGAGTCTCTAGTGATTTAGTTTTCTTCTTCTTCTACTCCTGGAACTTAATTTTGCCTCTAAACAATATTACAAAACTGCTTACTGGTCACAATTGTATCTGGTTCCTAGCAATATTGCCCTATTGAATATTCTGTCTGGTGAAAACGGCAACAAGAGATTTCCACAGAATGTGATATTCTATTCATATCATAGCTTTTTATACAGGCAGCTTTGGGTCAGATCAAAGACTTTGAAATAGTGCAACCTGGGCTGGCAAACCCATGCAGGAAGATTTGTAGCTCACTTAGCTGGATAAAGTTTAGGACTGCTGTAATGTCCAGATGTAGCTGAGCTGTTCAGATGTGGATGATTGACACAGGGGAAATACTGTATGTAAATCCCAGCAACCAATCATACACTGATAGGAAAAGTTAAGAGTTACTACTACTAAATCCATAAATCATCAGTTATACCACCTGCCAATTCTTCTTTACAAACTGTTTCTTCATGTCCATGTGATTGGTAATGTTTCTGTTTTTATGCTCCTCAGTTGTTATCGCTGGGTAAAATCAGCCAGACCAAAGTAGCCAAACTGAAATCCAGTTTCAGGCTACTCCACAATACTCTGAAGAGGTATGTTTTCTCCTTGGGACAAAAGTTCATTTGTAACCCTCTTGTTTGTGTCATGTTGCAATTTGGCGGTGCAGTATAACTGCAAAAATGCTGAGAATACAGTAGAGAAGTTCAATTCTCATGACAGCCAACTGAAGTGCCCTTGAAAAAGACTTCAACTCTTTATCGGATCTAGTCTGCTGCTCTTATATGCTATAGAAAAAATATAGAAGTAGCATCTGTTATATCAGCCACTGGCATCTGAAGAGACATTTTGAAGGTCATATTGTAGTTGCTGCTCACTCACTTAGTGGAGCCATAAATCCTAAATTGAGCAAAGAGGTGGAAGCTAGGATATATTTGAAGGTACAACCACTACCACTAACTGCAATAGGCTGAGACACCTGTCAATCAAAAGCCTCTCTAAAATTAAATCCTTAATGGAACACTGATTCTCAAAAACGCCACCAAAGCACATAATGGAGGAAGTGAAATTAACTTTTGAGACCCCAGTCTCTTGTGAAAAGAACTAGTCTTTGTGTAATTTCTTGTGAAAACAAGGAAAAGAATCTGAATGTGCACATTACATTTAATCTGCTTAGTACTCATCATAAACAACCACCAGCTACTGAATGTTTAGATGCATATTATAGTAGTAGTAGTTTTTAATCATATTTAAACAGGAGTTAGGGTTGATTATTTGTAGTTAGCCAAGGTATATTTATCTAATTGTTATTGCCTTTACATTTCCTAAAAAGCAGAATGTTCTCATGTAGAATAAATCATATAAAATTGAGCTAATATTTAGATTTTTAATTGACAAATATCAGTATACTGCATACGGTACCAGATACTTAAATCATT